TGTCCTTCTTGTTTTCCGGAGTCGGCCAAGCGGAGACGCCTGCGACTTTGACGGGGTCCATTTTGACGTGGTTGTGGGAGATGATGACTCCGAGGTACTCGATTGACGATTTTTCAAAGTCGCACTTCTCTGCTCGAAGGTACAACTTGTGCTCCCGGAGTCGCCGTAAGACCTCCTGGACAATCTGCTGGTGTTTCCGGAGGTCGGAATGGGCGATCAGGATGTCGTCAAGGTAGATCATGACGTCTCCGGAGAGGATGAGGTCCTGGAAAATGTCATTCATCATCGTTTGGAACGTCGCGGGAGAGTTTGTCAGGCCGGAATACATCACCAAGGGCTCGAACAGGCCTCGGTTAGTCCGGAAAGCCGCTTTCCACTCGTCACCTTCCTTGATCCGGACGTTGTTGAAGCCCCAACGGACGTCGAGTTTGGTGAAGTAACAAGCACCTTTGAGCCGGTTGATGAGGTCATTGATCAGCGGAAGGGGGTACCGGTTTTTGACAGTCATCGCGTTGAGAGCACGGTAGTCCTGGACGAAGTGGAGTCCGCCATCCTTCTTCTTGACGAAGAAGACCGGAGATGCCATCGGAGACTTGGAGGGGCGAATCCAGCCCGTCGAAAGCCCTTCCTCGATGAACGCGTCGAGCTCGCGTTGCTCGAGGGGCGAGATGGGGTACACCTTGCAGTTGGTGGGCTTAGCGTCGGGGACAAGCTCAATGGCATGGTCCCAGGCTCTCCGCTCCGGTAGCGTGTCGAAGGACTCCTTGTTGAAGACGTCCTGGAACTCCTTAGCCCAGTCCGGGATCTCGGAGGGCGGTGGGGCGGAGTTCTTGGCGAAGGCTTCGGCCAGACGCTGTGAGACGGTGCTACCTGCGCGTATCTCCTCTGAGGGACGGAACGAGGTGTAGAAGATGCGGTCACCATCTTCGAGCTGGTCATCTTCGTCATCCGAGTCCGAGTCCGGCGTCAGATCAGGCAGGTCGGAATCGAGACCGGAATCGGAATCGTCTCCGTCCTCAGGGCCAGAGAGGTCCATAGTGCAAACCGAGGGGAACGGGCCGGAGCGGAGACGCTTCTGAAGCGACCGGAGTCGCTGCAGCTCGGTCCGTTCGACGCGCTCTTCCTCACGGCAGGTCGAGCAATTGCGGGGGCACCGTGTCATCTTGACCTCCTTGGTTTCCCAATTGATCCCTGGGTTCTTGCGGATCTTCACCAACTACCAGCAGGACGACTGGGATGAGCTGATTCCGGCCGCGGAGTTCGCCTACAACAACCACGTTCACTCCTCTACGCAGCAGGTCCCCTTCATGACGGACGGGACGGCTCCCCGCATGGGCTTCGAACCCGGAGTCCGTTCCGCCATGGAGTCAGTGAACGAGTTCCGCGACCGGATCGCCACTGGTGTTGCTGAAGCCAAGGCCCGCTCACTAAGGCCAAAGAGGAGTACAAGCGCTACTACGACCGGAGACGGACTCCGTCTCCGGAGTTTAAGGTTGGCGACCGTGTTTGGCTGGATGCCTCTGACATCAGGACGACTCGCCCCTCGGAAAAGTTCTCCCATCGCCGCCTCGGACCGTTCAAGATAGTCGCGGAGATCAGCAAAGGTGCCTACAAGCTTGACCTCCCTCCGCGCTACTCGAAGCTCCACCCGGTCTTCCCCGTCGTCAAGCTCGAGCTCGCCCAGGACGACCCCTTCGACGGACGCCCCGGCTACGACCAGCCCCTCCGGACCTCGAGGACGGAGTCCCGGAGTGGGAAGTAGAGGAAATCCTGGACGCAAGGGTGAGGTATAAACGGCTGAACTACTTCGTCAGATGGAAAGGCTACGACGCATCGCACGACCAATGGGTCCGCTTCGACCGCGTCTTCGCCCGGAGAAAATTGCGGAGTTCTATCGTAAGTACCCTGGCAAGCCACAACACATCGCCTCCGCGACCTTCGACTCGATTCCGTTCCGGTCTATGCGCCGGGACGCCGCATTCAAAGGGGGGTGATGTCAGGGGAACCTCCCTTTCGGCCCGGAGACGCGCCCGATTCCGGTCCGACTCCGGTTCCGACTCCGGTCCGGCCCTCCATCTCGCCCGCACAATCACCGATCCGTCAACGCCCTCCCGACGGTCGCCCTGGGACCTCGCCTGCGACGCCGCCCAAGCCTTCTGTGCCCGACAGCGGCAGCTACGGACAAGCAGTATATAGTCAGCTACCTAGCAGGCGGACCCTTAGAGTTTCTTCTCTTTGGATCCTCCCCTGCTAGGTCAGCTTCGTTTGTATTCGCTTACCAATGTTCACGCCTTTGGATCCTCCCCTGCTAGGACCTTGATCTCAGGCCTCCGGGGTTGCCCTTACAAGTGCAAGAGTGGACAGAATTCATAGATGATATTGGCTTTAAGTTAAGTCCAATCTAATAACTTAATATATGTCTCAATTTCTCACCAATCGAGTCTACCTTCCTGAAGTTTTAATTGTTATCTTTCCAAGTTGTAAAAATATATATCTTTATTGTGCACTATTTGTCATAAATAAATCCTGCTTCAGGGCATATTTTTTTTTTAGCAGAAGCCCTAGTGTGAGAGTCCAGAATATCTATAACCTTCCTTAAAATAATAGTTAGCACAGCACTCCCCGTACCCGTGGGCTATTGCACCTTTTTAAGACCGCAGTGTTGCACTTAGGCTTTTAGGGCCTAGTCATTTAGGGCCCTAAAAGGCCCTAAATTAAGGCCCTAAGCTGAGCTATGTTTCCCCGTAGGGGCATATCTATGTATCTAATCTTATCTAATTCGGCGTCAGCGTCAGCGCCAGTGCCAGGTCCGATGACTCACCGATGACACCTGTCACTTTTTTCTTTCCCATTCCTCCTATAACTCGGCTCAAAGATGACAATTTCCGAGCATTTCATCCGGGGGCGCAAGGCCAATTCGGTCCAATATCACACCTACTGCAATGGGTGTGTCAACAACTGGAAGAAGGACAACCCTGTTGACTTATCTGGCATGGAGGAAGGCAGCTTCGACTCTAGAGTGTTTGAATGCGAAGAAGAAGTGGGTGGAAGACGATACGTGGTTAGCCCTGACTGATGTATTTACTGCTCATCTTCTTACAACAGCGAAGGCCTCGATGGGTGATGGAATCCTTGGTCACCCACCAGCCTGGGTTGTGCATATTCTTGGCAAAAACAACTCAAAAGACCGAGGCTGTCCCCATGCCTCGCCCGCTGCTATTGCTGATGCCAAGGCTCACGACAAGCGCAAAACCAGTCTGAAGGACAACACAAGTGCTTTGAAGAAACACCCTGCCGACAGCAACAATGGGCCAGCTGCGAAAAAACCTAGAATGACATAGCCAAAACCTGTCGTTCTCAAAGGCCTGGACATTCCCTTTTCCGAGAGCCATCTCAATGCAATCCACGCACAGTGCGAGCATGTCGTTGTCTCATGCAGCCTGTTGGAAGACTTCTTCATGAAGCCTGAGGTCAAGACTCTGTTTGCGATGTTTCGGTCAAGGGTCGAAGATGTATTGCCTTCCCGGAGGCTCATTGGTGGCCGTCTGTTGGATGACCAGATCAAGATCGCTGACAACCGTATTCGGGAGGCGTTTGAGGGACAGGTAATCAGTCTGCAGTAAGTTGTCGTTGCTTGTTTGGCTTTGTCTTTGACACAAGATATAGACTCGATGCATGGAGTCGGTTCAGAAAGGGTGTTACCGGCGTGTGTGGAGTCTCCGAGTCGATGAAGTACCCGATGACAGTGCAGTTGAAATCCCATCGGATGAAGAATATCAATTATAATTGAAATATATATATATATATATATATATATATTTACATTAGGCCCTAAAACAATAGACCTAAATTAGGTCCTATGCACCTAATAGGCCCTACATCTCCTCAGACGTCGATTTAGGGGGCCTAAGTGCAACACTGTAAGACCGCCAAGTGCCCTGTGACCCGCTCATCGTTGCTTGCACATGTGTACGTGTTTGATTGCCGTTCCGTTGATGATGTGATGTGTACGTGACCGTGCGTGACATTTTGTGACGCTCTTCTGGCTGACCAAGATTCGAAAACACCCACAAGCACACATGGGACGACTCGTGCCGTCAGCACTCAAGGACGACAACTGCGCTTTGCCAACCCGGCCGATATTAAGACCATCCGTCTCACAATAGAATGGGCTGCCGTCCGGCCTGGCTCGTTCTCAAGCGCAGGCTTCCTCCGCGCCCGCGAAATTCTTCAGTACATTCACAGGCAACGGACACGAGAACCTCACTCGCCAGCTCTGGCCCAGAAGGATCGCGGCTGAGTTCTAGCCCATCGCAAGAATCACATCGTCGTTCCCTCAAGTGTCTGCACGTAATATGCGGTATTTCAGCAGGCGCGTGTACTTTTACGTCTTGGGTTTTCTTTGCCAACCAACACCTCTCAGGCTGCTTCAGGTCGCCTCGCATCATACGCATATTCACCCTCCATTAGCAACCCGCTGCTGGTCATCGCTCCTATGGATACCTACGACACAGGAACTGCTCCCGCTTGCGATCCGAGAAGCCTCGAATGGGATGGAAGCATTTGGCAAAGGATTGTCTTGGCGACAATCCTTGCTCAGCGCAAAAAATAGCGGCGCGTTCCAAAAATACACGTCCAAATGAATGCTCATCTTCGCCTACAGTGCTTGCGTGCGATATTTTATGCATTCGATCAGTTGGCATGGTCGCAGCAGAAGGTCAAATCGCGACCCTCAAGTACCAATCCGCTTGTCCTCAGTCGATCGTTCCCATTCCCCTGCTCTTCGTTGTTCTTGTTCTTGAGCTTGAAGCTATCTCCTTCGCAGTGCGTTGTTCGTATTCTTGGCAGTGAGTCCGAGCTCAAATCCAATATCGTGGTTTCAATGCTGATCGTTGGCAGAGTCCTACTCCTCTTCCATCATCAGCATCCATTCCTTCTAAGTTGTTCTTCTCGTCAGTTCACTCCTTCAGCTGCCATTCGATACTAAAGTCAACCAGCCAATGAAGTTCGCCTCTGTCCTCCTCGTGCTCGTGGCCATGAGCGCCTCCACCGTTCTCGCCGCCCCCCACAAGAATGGCAAGGCTGAAGGGCCTTCTGGAAAGGCCGTCCGTCCGAAAGCCAAAGCTGGAAAGGGCAGCAAGGCTGATGGTGCTGCGAAGGCCGCTGCTGCTGCTGTTTCCGCCGGGGCTGCTGCCGGTGCCGTAAAGAATGCGAAAGACAAAAGCAAAAACCAGGCGAAAGGGAATCAGGCTTCGGACTCTTCGGTCACGAATTCGACAGACAACGCTGCTGCCGGATCTAACAGCACAGGTGTCGATAACTCTGAGGCGTCTAATGCTGCTTCATCGACCGCGACGGCCGCTGGTGCAACGCGTATGTCTGCCTTCCCGCTTTCTTGAATACGGGCTACAATCCAGATAGGCACCCGGCCATGCGACCAAGGAGATCAATCCCTGGCGGCAGGTCTAAATGCAGCTGTCGTTATCGGCCTGGGTCTTCAAGCTAGTGTTGCAACGCTCCAAAATATATCGTCTCAGGCCCAATTCGCTGCGAAGGACTTCGCGGATGGTGTGACCCGTTTACAGCAGTTCCAAGACAGTAAGTAATCGCTCCCGCATTCCAGGGCGGGATCCTAATATAATTGGATAGCCATGGGTCTCCAGCTGCAGGTAGCGCAGGCCATCGCCGATGACGACAGCTTTGCACAGACCCAGCTCAAACTTGTATGTTAACCCCTCTCACCCTCGTGCCGATCTTGATTTTATTGCTCCAGCTCGCAGCTGCTCAAACGGCGACCTCGGCAACGATCAAATCTCTATCGGGCGTTGCCTCCGCAGCACAGGCTAAGTCTGCCGCCAACACGCTCTCGGCACTGCTCAATGACTTCCTGACAACGACGAACACCGCCCAGGACGGCGCGTCACAAGCACTCATCGACTGCTTCCTCCCCCTCACCACTGTGTCGGGCTGAGTGTAGCCTTCGACATCGTGGTTGTGGCTTGTCGATTTCCGCCTTGCTGTTTCGCTCCACCTTAGGTCTAGCCGTTCAATGTACTATTCACGGAAAACCATCTTTTTTAGCGCTAGATCGGGACTTGCGTGCATTGTTCATTATTGTTCTGAGCCGCCAGTCATTTGGGCTTACCATCGACGAACGCTACTAGGCGCGGTCATAAACTCGAATACTAGTCTCGAAGTCTTCCCCTTCGGAGGCAAGTAAAGCTCCGGCTTACTTTTACCAGGGTCGAAACCTAGACTTTAAACTGAACGGCCGCCGCTACATCCAGTACTATCTCCTTCGTTTGAGAGGTAAGTCAGTTATGCATCTTTGCTTGAAACCATCTTGAGGTGACGAAACAATGGTCAAAAAGTCGATCGTTTAGTATTGACTCGACGCTGGCCCACGATACAAACCCTCCTTCCAAACGGAGCCCACCCAGCCCACCCTAAATCAGCCTTTCCCGCGCCTTCTCGAGTGCTTTTTGTGTCCGCCATCATTTCATCCCAAAAAGGCAATTCCATCAGCATCCGCGTTATTGTGGGTGTCGACCCGAGGTGCGCGCACAGGCACGTACACGTCAGCGCTGGGAATCCGCGAGTTGCCTCGCGGCATGCGTGGACGGCTGCGATTATTGTTGCGGACCAAGTTTCTTCCTGGAAAGGCAATTCGGGGGCTGATCACTCTGCGTGCGGAAGCCAGGTCGCTGACAACAATTAGCGGGCCCTCGTATTGTGTCGGACGTATAAAAGATGAGAGGAAGCAAAGAGCCACCCCACAGTTCGCTGCACCTGTCTGCTACCCACTCCCGGACATCCTTGTCCCGACGTCCTTGCGCTACCCCCCACACTCTAACCTCCTACTCACCAACACCAAACATATGGACGCATTCGCATCCTTCGCTTCCCTTGTCTCCACTTTCACCTCCACTGCAGAGCCGCAGCACGACTCGCAAACAGAGCGAGAGTTGGAGCTCCCGAGTATCCCGGTCGACGATGACAAAGCCACTGGCTCAAGCGGCTCATGTGTTATTGCATGAAGGGTACGTGTTCCACGTCGTCGGATCGGAGAATCTGACAGGCTCCCCAGGAATCTTCCCGGCACGGGCATATCAACCCGTCCATCCCTCTATCCGATGATCCCGAACGTCTCACGAGTCACGACCTACCCACCACCCCAACGCGTTACGCACCACTCTGTATCATTATCCCTCGATTCCCTTCTGCACCCACCCACGTTTATTTCGCATCGCGACACCCATTTATCACGTTCCCTCATTTCGACGCCATTGACACGCAATAATCCAGTCCTAGTAGTAGACGGGTTTCAATTTTTTTTGTTTCATTCGGGCACAAATTGTACGCACTACGCACGTATTAAGTAAAATACTAGTCAACGCAAATCTTCTGTTGAGTCAACATTACTCGAGACTCTAGTAAGCCAGGAAATGTGTAAAAAGGGTGAAAACTGGGCTGTCCGGACTCCGAGTCTAGTCGCTGCGTCTCGCTTTGCGGGTTTCGCGGGCTTTCAACGGCTCTGGTCCTGAAGCAAAGGCCGGTAGAAACAACCGTTCAGACGTCGGCCTTGTGTCGGCCCAAGATTCAGTAGGGAGAGGCGTTGCCTTTGTACAACCATGCACGGTCTGCGTTGGTCGGCGTTTGATCTCTCGGTGCAATGCGGACCGTTTGATGCGTGTTGTTAGCGGGTGCCAAGCAATCATGGGCCAGGGCCGGCAAGATGGCTAGCCAATGGCTCGCTTGTCCAGGACGGCCACTGCTCCCCGCATCGACGGTTATACGGAGGAGCGCTGGCATCCCCGACTCGGAGGCCATATGAACATCCCCGCCGCAGAAGTTGTCCACTGACGTTGCCAGTGAGGAAAAACAGCTCCAACAAGCGGGGGTCAAACCTCCGCGAATGGGAGTCGGGATGGAGAAGATCGCCGTCGCCTGATTGTGGTGATCGCTATTGAGATCTTCGCGACCCCATTGTGGGCACGTTACTTCGCTGTCCGTCGCTGGTCCAGATGTTGCGCTCGCCGGGACGCTCCTACGTAGTACTGCTGCCGTCGCTTTAGTTCCCGACAGCCGTATAAATACCAGGTGGTCTCCTCCATATTCCCCATTCCCCTTCACACTACCACTTCTACAACCCACCAAAAACCTATCTTTTCCTTCCCTCCACGATCATAATGCAGTTCCTCACTGTCTTCGCCACCCTCGCTGCCTTCGCCACCGCTGCCACTGCCATCGACAACTACCGCGGTGAAGGTGCGTGGTGATATTGTCCTTCATTCAGTCTGAGGCTAACGTGGATATTTGCAGCCACGATCTACAAGTCTGGCCCCAACGCTTGCAACGTCGCCCCTGGCGCGCGCTTCATCGCTCTCCCCTCGCCCATCTTCGACGAGAGCCTCTGCGGCACAACCGTCGCCGTCCAGAACCTCCGTAAGCAGCGGCTTCATTTCTTTTTCCGGCCCAGCTGACGGTGCCCTGCAGAATACCACTTCGGTGGCCAACTCGTCGTCGGCGACCGTTGCGACACCTGCGTCGGCAACGCCGTCCAGATCTCCGAGAACGCCTTCGGCTCTTTCCTCGACGACAACGACAAGGAGCTCGGCGTCACCGCCTTCGAGGCCGCATACGCCGTTGGCCTCTTCGGCCGGAAGTAAATAGTAGGATGTTAGTAGAATCGGACTCTTGGACTTTCTAGCTACCGCCTTAATGCGATTTATTCGTTTGATAATCTTGGTTGTCTTCATAAGCTTGCACCGTATGGTACGGTCTCGAACGCTTCAGCCTAGTGTATGGGAGAGTTTGGCCTTCGAACTAATGGTGTCCAGCTCTGGGCTGGCCTGAAAGCACAATTATAGCAAGGTGGCCTTTGCAGCATCTCAATATCCATTGGAAAGAATCGGGAGAAATGCAATTCGTATATTGACAAGAAACCAGAGTGTGAAAACCACAAAACAAGTTCCAGAAAACCTATGCGCTCCCCCGTGCCTCCAGAACCTCGAGTTTTGCAACCTGCCTAGTGAATCATGAGCAAGAGGCAGAGAAAAAGATGGTCAGAACCCACCTATCCCGTATCGCCTCCTGCCAGCGTTGCAGTTTTGCGGTCTCGTGCACCTGGAAGCCGTATATCTTTGGTCTGTAGCGCTCTGCCTTGAGCGCAACACTCGCGGTACTGATTCCCTCGCCAACAGAGTCGGTGCCGGTCACCTCTGGCAGCAGCTCCTCCTTCTCCCTTTCCCTCGTTCGCCTCCTGGCGCTAGCAGCAGTAGCTGCCGCGCCAGTTGAACCAGCTCCTGTACCGCCGCGGGCCTCACCGGTAGAGTCAAGCGGGACACCGACTTTAGGGGGGATAATTGCAGGGTATACGAGGAAGAGCAGATGGGGGAAGGTGGTGCCAAAGTATGCACCATCTATGGAGCCATGGCGAGATGATTTTGGCGAATAGAGGTCCTCGCATCGTCCACAGAAGAGCTTGACGGACTTTTCGTAGGGTATGTCGACAATGCCCACGGGCAAAAGAGGTTGAGCGTGGCAGAGCACGCGGGGACAACGCCCAAAGTCGCCACGTTTGTATTTTTCGACCTAGAGCAAGATGAGAACGGGGCAAGGGGGAAGAACATGTGCCACACACCATTTTGGCAAGCCCTCTCGCAGTTACTATCCATCGAGCGTGAATCAGACCATAAAGAAGTCGTGCTTGAGTGTCCAGCGACCCGCGCAGCTCCTCTTGTACTTCGTCGTCTATGCTGATGAGTGAGCGCCCCGTGAGCATGCCAAAAGTATGGTAGCGTACCAAGCTGGTCCGTTATCAAGTCCAGAGCTTGTGCATAGTTGGCCACCTCGTTGTTGAGGCCAGTCAGATTGAATCGGTCGAGAATGAAGTCTTCGTCGACCTCGCAGAAGTACTCATTCCCCTTCGACGACAGGAACCACGAAATCCACTGCAGCTCGTCAGCTAACCGCGTGTGGGGCAAGGGTGGGTTTTTACGGTGCTGTGAAGATGTGAGCGACAGCACAGCACTGGGTGAGGGGGACCGACCTCGAGTAGTCAGAGTCCGAGCCGGTGGAGATGTCTTCCACTGCGACAAAGCGGGACATGGGTAAGGGCGGGTCGGGGGCTGGTGCGGACGCACTTGAAGGTCGAGATTCGGAGATGGTCCCGATGTGATGCGTGATGTCACAGTCACAGCCGCGTTTTTCCTGAACGTGCGCAAAAAGACCTCAGTGGAGGGCATATAGGAGGATAGTCTCCCTTTATCCAACCCCCTTCATCTTCCAACTTTATGGACACTCATCTCACGAATCCAAGTCCGAACCGCGAAAATACGCGCGAAAGGCTTTGCCCCTGTCAATGCAAGCACCAGACTTCGAGACGTCATCGCCCCTATGAATTCGAGTCATCCAACCTCTCTGAAGAGAACCACCATGACCAAATTCAAGGACCTCCCTCTCGAAATCTTGGAAAAGATCACCGCTGTCCCGACTGTATGCATGCTCAACCGTGCTCAAAGCGACTTCAATGACTCACTATCCCTCGTAGCTTTCCACCGCAGAGCAGCGTTGTGCGCGCGAGACATGCCGTTTGCTCAAATCAGCGCTTGACCCAGAATTCTATGGCGTCTTCCCCTTGAACTGCGCTATTATGGCGAGCAGAGATGCTCTACAGATTCTCCAATCTCTGCAACCAAGTCGGGAAATGTGGAACAAGTATGCAAGAGTCTTACACATTAGGTGGTCGCGCAAGTCCAGCGAGAAGTTCCCTTGTGTAGTTGACCCTCAGGCTATAAACGACTCAGAACCCGACAAAGACAAGAAGGTTGAGTTGACTACCGAGTTCCTTCATACGATGGATCGTATTGACGGTGTTCAGTGAGTCCCTTTCATTCCACTTTCCCTACTTGATTTATTCATACAGTTGGGACGTATCTTTCTGTATCCCTATCTGGCTGCACCGAGCCGTTCAAGAAACATTCGCTCCGCGTTTGCCCGCCATTACATCGCTCACCCTCGATATGCGCGAAACTAACCCTCGCTTCCTACCGCTTTTCGATCTCTCTCATTTCGGCGTAGAAAACGTTCGCATTCTGCGATACAAAGGCATTGGTGGCTATCCGCCGAAAGATTCTCAGATTGGGACCCAACTCGCCCATGTCGTGAAGAGTGCCAACAGCAACCTGTCCGTGCTTGATATACACCGTCTCCACGCCAATGACTCCAATCTCGTATGGAAAGCGCTAATCGGCCTGTTTGAAAATCAGGAAGAGTCTCTCATGCCGGAGCTGAAGCTTGAAGAACTGCGCACCGACACCATTACCTTCGAGCTCATTCGCTTCCTGGCCATGTATCGAGGAATAGGAATCAAATGTTTGCATCTGCAAGAAGATGGTTATAACTGCGTACTAGGCCGAACAGACTCTCTACTCGACTTATTCAACCGGCATATACTCCCTCGGCATGCCACTATTCTACAGCGCCTATCATTCGGTAGCGTCTACGAAAGCCGCTGGAGCTTTGGAAACCACTGGGCCAGAAGACTACCACGGCTTATTCACAAGGGCGGGCTTCTCAAGCTGACCGAGCTGGCTGTGTCGCTAAATGAAAAGGGTGTGATCGACCCAAGCGTCTACGGACGTCAAACGCTCGATAGTGACAACGGCCCGCCAATGGTGGTGCGTATCCATCTCTTCCCTTCACTCCGAGTCGTTCCCCTTGCTAATTGCATTGCTTTATAGCATACCCTCCTCAGCCTTGTGCCCTCCTTCCCTCGTCTCGAGCGGCTATCCATCTCGATCTCTATCCCCCAGGGCTATCGCAAAAGCAGTGGCTGCGGGACGCACCGCTGGACGCACATCAGCAGGATGCGTAATTCGATTGTCCAAGACATCCAAGACTTTCGCCTCGGCCGCGAACAGAGGGCGGCGCTGCTCAGCGAGACGCTCACAATCGCGGTCTCCTGGGATATGAAGGTTTTGTTTGTATTGGTTCCTGTCCCGAGTACAGAGTCGGAGACTAGAGAAGAAGTGGACGGAGAGTATATGTTCATGAGCGTGAAAGCCAATTGACCCAGCGTCGGGCTCATCCGGTACAATGGAATTTGGAAACCTCTTGATATTTTTTTACACTCAATTCATCGGCTCTTCATCATCATCTATGGAATGGAATGAATAGCAATAATCGCCATAAATACCAAAGTTATTATGTAATAATTTATCGTGCAGCAAGATGTGTCCATGAATCATTCATTTGGAAACCAAAATGACTTATTCCTCCTCACACGCACCCTCCCCTGGACATCTGAAACAAGGAGGCCTTTAGCTGAGTAGGTGGCTGAAGAATAGGCCTCACCTTTCAGCTGTCTTCTCTTCTGCTTGCTTTCGACAAACTCGTCCACTACCGTCCAAAAGCTCGGGCCTTCCGAAGCGCCCTCGTCCCAATCCGCATACGTGCACATCACAAACGCAGGGTCATCAATGTGCTTTTGCATATCCCCAACGGTATGCGCTACTTTATCGTCTGTTTCATCTTCACTTTTGTTGGAACAGTTATTCTCAGCCGCAAGAAAGACAAGCGCGTCAAGGTTGGACCTTGCGAGGATGTATTCCGCAGACTCCATTGTCGATTGCAGGTCGTGAGAGCATTGGACGGAAAGGTGTCGTAGGGAAGGAAGCGCGAGAATTGCGTCAAGGATGGAGAGTTTGATACTATCGAGGTCGTCGAATATGTCGAGATGTGTGAGGGACTGAAATGGGCGGAGCTGGAGAGATATAGTGTCGGAATTAAGGTCAAATAAATCATGAAGATGTCCGGCTAAGCGATGGAGCGGCATAGCGGAGAAGATGGGGAGGAGGTCGTGGATTGGGGGCAGACTGGGGAATAGCGCAAGGTGTGTGACCATTGTGCATTTTTGCAGCCCTTGGATTGTTTCCTGGGAAGTAACATCCAGGCTGTGGTCGAGGACCAGGTGGCGGACACTTCTGGCTGCAAATTCTTCTGATTTGGAGAGTAACGAGGTCCAAGCAGCGTTACCGCGGCCACTGTCGGTAAGGTGAATTTCACGATACAGTAAGGGCTCTATCCTGTATTAACGTAAGCCATTACAGACGTCTCTAGCACTATACTGACCAGTAGTGGGCCCTACGAGCCACGCATAACAGGGAGGGAATCATTTCCGGGTAGAAAATGGCCGCCGTCTCGAATATCTCCCTTTCAAGCTCCAGCGGAAAACAAGGTTCAGTGGCGTTGCAGGTCATGATTGTCGATGATGATTTGAAGGGGCTCGTTGGTTAACTTTCTGGGTTTTAAGGTCCCTGGTGGAGCCAATAAAAGTACGCATCGCTCCAAACTGTAATGAGTGACATCAGTTCTAGTCGGATGATATTAGCAGCCACATACGTCTATAGACGCTCCACGCTCCAATGATAAGTACTGTAAATGCTCAAGGAAGTTTGTTGTTCCCAGAGCCACAGTGGTTGACGAGGAACTCTAAGCTGCATCATCAGTAGGCTGATGGAACGAGTAGTAAAGCGCACTTTGAAGTAGCATGCATCATCCCCGGTGTCCTTTAGACAGACGCTATGGTCCGGTAGCCCCCCGTAACTCCAATAATAAGCCGTGGGTGCCCATACTCCATACTGAAGGCGTTAACGCAGGACATCCGACAACCAGAGCGCGTCCTGGACGCTACTCTCGAGGAAGGGAGCAGAACAGCAGAAGCCCGTAATGAATGGTGCCTATGCACAGTGGGGGTGGTCAGGCGGACCGCTGCTAGGTTTCCGAAGAAATAAATGACGAACCTTTCGTCGTCAGATTGTCCTTCCATTCATGATTCATCTGTCTTTGAACAAGAGATTGTTTGGAAAGGAGAGTTGTCTCAGAACCAGTGCTCACTAGAACAACTGTGAGCAAAGGGTGAAAACCCGCCACGAGTATCACGCACTTCACGACCCTTATTGTGGTCAGGCTCGCCATCCTTCCTTGCCCTGTTCTTCTTCTTCTTCATTAGCCAGTTGTACCGGAGCCTGGACGCAGCCATAGTCTTACTCTGCGGGAAAGGTTCGTTCTCTTGAGGTTTTGATGATACTGGTGAGCGCGAAGAAGGAAGAACAATTTGCTGTCACACTGTCCTGGTCGTTGGCGGAAGCCACATCGTCAATCCGAGTCTGATAACGCTCGAGAATTGTTACCTTACCCACATCTACTCGGTCCTTCCGATACAGAGCAACACTAATATTTGCTGTGGTCACTGGACAGTATACATAATCACCATGTCCAGTCTTGAGCTTCGACCCCGACTGCCGCCCGAACTCGAGAGAAGAATCTTCGAAACTTCTGCTCTTCTCGACCGTTCATCCATCCCTCGCCTCCTTCTCGTCGCTTCTCGTGTACTTATCTGGTAATCTCGTCTTGCCGCAATTCAAATAGGCTGATACTGTCAGGATAGAACCTTTGCTGTACCGAAGTCTTGAAATTGGGCTGAGTGGAGTGGACGGGCTCAACGTCGTGCGAGCGGTACTAGCGAAGCCGACGGAATTTATCAGTCGCAGCCTCCGTTCTCTCGTCTTCGGCCACAATTTCTTTCAATACTGGGCCTCCCTCTCAGAAGATGATAAGCTCAAGTTATCGAGCCTCATTAAAGGAAGGATTACCCACGTTGGCGTGGCAGGGGCAGTCCATTGCATGTCTATACTCGAAGAGTTCTCCGCAAGTCCCCTCCAGCTATCGTGCTACCTCGACGATCTCTTTGGCTATACAGTTTTCGAGGCCGTATCCACGACAAGCGGACTCAGAGCTGTCGTCCAGCATCCTATATTCCGCCAGCTCACCCACTTTCGCATCTTCAACGCCAATCCCAGCAGGACAGAGCCCATTTTGACCATCGCGCGACAACTCCCTGCATTGACACATCTCGCGATGCCGAGCTACCATTTTGGCCGGTCCATCAACATAAATCCACGCGAGCAAAGGGTGAAGCAGTACCTGACGGAGTGTCGGATGCTGCAGGTGTTAGTCTCGATCGAAGAATCCGTTTCGGATGAAAGACCCCAACAAGTGGCAGAGACAGTAGTACATGATGCGCCAGAGGAGGTGGTGCCCGACATCCGCTTTGTTGAGTGCAACGTCGTGCATTGGTTAGAAGATGCTCGGCCTGGCTATAACTTTTGGGATAAGGCGGAAGCCTTGATTGCCCTGAGGCGAGAACGTGTAGCCAAAAACGCGTCGAGGTGATAAAAAGGACAGCTCAAGGGGAAGGGCCCTTTCAAATATTATGTAGTATGAGCTGTGTGTAGCAATTGTAATTGCATGGCCTTGCAAGTTTCTTGAAGAACAGGAAGGTGTCACGATCATCATGGTCACGGCCATTTCCCGTTTCTTCAGCACCGCGATGGCCTCTCAGCCAGCTCATGTTTTGGCCACGTCCGCGAGCAACACAGAGAACGAACCCGCACCGATTACTGCTGGTAACAGCCTTTCCATCGTGCCTCCAAGGGTCGCAACAGAGACGCTGGACAGACATCTTCGCCGATCTGCTGCACTACTTCAAGTACGCGTCGTCAGCCTATAGCCCCGTCTGCCTTCGACCGAACGGAAACGCCCTCGTCCTTCAAGTGAGTTCCCTACTCATCTGGTCGCTGCTTAACGGGTGACTTGTTTAGTTTGGGAACCAGCTCAGCGACATCCAGGGCTTCATTGCGCGGGATGACCATCGGAAGGAGCTTGTGGTGGCGCTGCGTGGAAGGTGCGTCATGCCAAACTCTATTTTCATTGTCGCTCAACATTTGTTTTCTCTAGCGCCTCAATAACCGATATACTACTCGACGCCGCCATTGTCCTTGTCCCCTTCCTAACTCCCGGCGTCAAGCTCCCTGCTGGGGCCCGTGTCCATGCGGGTTTCCTCACGGCGTACCTTACTATCTGCTTCTCAAATCGCTGTCGGACCCTGACGCGTCTGCAGATGGGATACTGTGGCTCCACAAATCACCGCTGCATTGGCAGTGCAACGTCAGCTTCATCCGGGACATCGTCTCGTCACAGTTGGGCATTCTCTCGGTGGGGCCCTTGCGACGCTCGCGGCAGTCTCGCTACTGCAGTTATTTACGGCGTCACCGATATTAGACCAGACGAGGACGTATTCATACGGGGCACCAAGGGCAGGTGTAGGTGTATTCTCTTCATTCGTGCGAGTGGAGGTAATGGTCCTCCCGGCAGAATACCGTCTTCGCAGATTGGGTCAATGAGGAAATGGGCTCGAGGGCTTTCCGGGGTGTGTTTCTCTTCCTTCAATGATCATACCCCAATTTGGGAAGTACTGAGAGCAATCTCAGTTGTACACGCAGATGATGGTGTGCCGACCATGATACCGACTTCACTGGGGTATCACCACCATGGTAATGTCTCTCAAACCATACTATCGATCCGCTCTTACTGATATTGGAGTTGTAGGGATCGAATACTGGCTCCACGCTGACCCTCCTGACCCCAAGAACACTATCCGCTGTTGCGCCTCCGGCGAAGACCCCTGCTGTTCTGCGAGTATCCCTTCCGGGGGAGTAACACCGGCACATACTACTGTTTGTGGTCTTGATCGTCTATATGAACTGAATTTAAACTATTTCTTAGTATCTTGGTATTACAGTTGGGACACCGTTCTGCATCTGATGAAGAGCAATGCGGTCATCTTTGCAAAAATTGTATCTACTACTAACTGCAGCCTTTTATTTGGGAATTCATTGTCCTTCATTGCGGAACTCATTTGGCTACATCACCCCAGCGTTCATGCACTTCAATATCTTTCTCAGGTTCCTCATCCCACCTCGTGTAAATGGTAACAACTTTAGGGAAGACAATAGAAAGAAGTTGAGCTACCCGAAATTTCAAGCTATCTGGGAGTGATGAATGACCCAAGTAGAGTGCGGTTAAACATTTTTGGGCGATGAGCGGATACTCTGCGAGCAATGTCCGCCGGTGGGGGATTTCTTTTGTGTTGAGGGCACAATGAGTCGTCTGCAATGCTTTGCCAACGTGACGAGTGAGGCATAAGTGAGTTTAGTGTGGCTCGACGATATCGATTGTGCCAGGCGCAAGCTTGTGAGTAACGGCAATGCGATACCAAGAACAGTGACGGTGTCGTCATTTATAGCGAGGTGACCATCGCCTGCGATGGTCAGGACAGACAATGAACGGAATAGAGCGAGACAGACAACTCCCGCGTGATCAGCAAATAGCAATGCAGGCCCACTGGACCGTACAACAATTTTTTCCTGTGAAAAGTTGGGTAAAAAATTTTGAAATTTTTGAATAATTTGTTTTCAAGTCAAAATTTGAACTTTTTTTTGAGAAGAAACCAGGACAAAAATTTCGAGTTTTTGCTTGTAAAAAATTAAGAAAAAAACTTATCATTGGTGCAACAGTTTTTACTGATGAAAAATTTGAAACATTTCCCTAGCAAAAATCTTGAAAAACATCTTGAATTTTTTTTTCTAATTTTTTCTTCAACTTAGAAAAATTTTGTTCAAAAATTTCAAATTTTTTACCTAACTTTTCACAGGGAAAAATTGTTGAAACAGCCCAGTGAGGAGGTTGAACTGCTCGTCAGGGAATACTCCAAAATTTTGAGCATGTCAACACAGATATGAGTGCTGATTGCTTGAAAAAGATGGGAGGATAGTGAATTTGACTTATCTTCAATAGAGGAAGAGTAGATATTTAAGAAATGTATGGGAGCGCCGGATAAGAGGGTGACGAAGTATGTTGCCACCGCAATGGTTGTAATTATTTTCAACTTAAAACCTGTTTATAATTCTCACAGGTCCAAAAACTAGTTTGTAAACACATGACCAAAAAAGGAAATTTTGCCTAATACAGCCAATTTTCTTCTAAATAGTTGGTTGTTTTGATGGGCCCCTCCTACTGCTCCTGGGCCAAGTTATACAGCTCTACTGGCATTCCCTGACACTCAGAGATATGCTTGAAGATGCACAAGCCAATGATAGGCAAAGCCCAACTTTGTTTACAGTTGCTTCCTACACATCGCTCATACTGTGCTTGACCAGATATGGTTTGGCTGTCAGGGGAACCTCCCTTTTGGCCCCCCAGAGACAATCCCAATTCTGGTCCGATTCCGGTTGCGACTCTGGTCTGGCGCTCCATCTCACCTGCACAATCACCGATCCGTCAATGCCCTCCCAACGGTTGTCAATGTCGGGCTCGGGCCGTATCGGGATGTCGGGGTCCGACTTCGGGAGGGTCTGAAGGAGCACAAGAGATGGGTTTCAGCCCGGAGAATAGATGATATTAGCCTAGCGACTACATCCTGTAAGTACGGTTTTTATATGCTAAGAGATCAGGGATAGATCGGATGGGCGTTGCGTAGGGCCCCGCAGGGGTGAAGGGAAGGGGTTAGAAGAATGGGGAGAGCGTTGAGGAGTGTTAAGGAGTGTGGGCGTGCAGGCCCGTGCGGGCCCGATCGGCCCTGTGGCCCGGCGGCCCGACCTGAACCGTGACAACGGTCACCCTGGGACCTTGCCTGCGACGCCACCCAGGCAGTGTGACACGTGACATACAAACTGAGTAAAATACTACAGTAGTGAAGCTATCACAAGCAAATTTGTGGCAAGTGGAAGTCCTTGGGTGAAGACTTATGTCTTCAAGATTTTCAAACGGATGGTGACTTAATCTGAGCAATCAGTAAAGATTTCATATAGGAGGGTGGGGGGATAAGCAGCTGTGCAGCAGTTATAACTGTAATATGCTATAGGCTGCAGCTGGTATTGGTGTGGCTGCAGTGGTAGATATGAGGAAGAGGTAAAAAAAATTGTCACAGGTCACAGATCATCACACAAATATGACAGGTCACGTGATATTTGACACGTTTATAAACCAGGCAATCCTAGCAACCCGTCCAAAAACTGGTTTATAAATAGGTGTTTACAAACCGGTTTGTAAACCAGGACCAAAAACAGCACCCTCACTCTAAGGTCAACATCTTCCAGGAAGGGGAAGATTAGTGTGGACTCCAGTGCCGCATTAGACATATATGGATGGAAACTAAGTTTCTTAATTTTCAATCCCTCGAGATATGGGTGCTGGATGATTTCCTGGTGGGGGTCAACTTGAACCTGAATGTAAGGGCAACCCTGGAGACTCCGACGAAAGCCTAGCAGAGGAGGATCCAAAGCGTGAATAAAAGCTATGGAAATACACGGAGGGACCGACCTAGCAGGGGAGGATCCAAAGAGAAGAATAGGGTGCTGTGAGTAATTCCTGGGGAATTACTCACAGCTGTTTCGAAACTGGTTTCGAAACAGGGGTGTTTCGAAACTGTTTCGAAACCGGCCGGCTACCGGGACCGGACCGCTCCGTCGGCAGCCGGCCGAGGTGCCAACCGAGATTCAATGTCCCACATTGGCATACCGGTCCACGCCAAGGGAGTTGGTGCCACAGCCGAGCTATTCCCGTGGGGGAGGTGCCATTCTGGTGATGGTCAGCCACCCGGTCCATGACAACAGTCGCCGAAAGCCGAGGTCGGGCATCCCGGACAACCACGTGCCGGTTTTGACACCGGGGCAACCCTCGGAACATTTCAAAACTCACAGGTGTTTCGAAACCGTTTCGAAACGGGTTTCGGAAACACCTTCAACTCACAGCACCCTAGAGAAGAAACTCTAAGGGTCCACCTGCTAGGGTGCCAACTATATACTGGTCGTCCGTAACTGCCGACGTAGAGCGCAGAAGGCCTGAGCAGCGTCGCAGGCTCTGTCCCAAGGTGATCATTGGGGGGGTCTTGACAGATCAGTGATTGTGCGGGCGAAGGAGGCTGAGGACGAGGGTTGGGGTAGGTCGGAGCGTCCGAGGGGGCATCGGTCGGATGCGCCTTGGATGCGCTCGGACGGTCCGAAGGAGGCCGAAGCGGGGGTTCCCCTGACACTGAAGACTGGGGACTCAAAGTATTTCAAGTTGGTGAAGAGTTGCAACAAATAATGAAATCACAGCAATCTCTGGCTCCTGAATGTTCTGGTCACAAAAAGGTAGTAGATAATAGCCAAGTCTGATGTGGACAGTGGCCAGCGGAAGTCGAAGCCTTGTGATGGTTAGCAGAATGGACAAGACAGATCGAGAAGGTAGGATGAGCGGTAGCAGTGGGTGGACAAGAGTCACCATCCGAGCGTCGTACAAAGGCAGAAAGCAGAGCGACAATGTGTGTGTAAATGAGGAAACAAGTATTTGTTGCAAAGGCAACTGATGAGCAAGGCCAGTTTTTCAACTTCTCTTATGGCAAATTTTTCTCCTGTGCGAAAACTCCGCACGTGGATGCAATATTGCCGAGGACGATCTCAGTTGCTTACAACCACACTCCTGTCGAAGTTCCTTCATGGACTATCTCCGGCACGCGCAGGCACCAATACATTGAGGAAATAAAAAAAGAGACCATTTTCCCCCATTTTCCACTAAGAACATGTCAGGCTACTATTTTGGAAGGTGGAGCACCATGAATTCATGCTGGGTCATCTGCAGAGGCTACCTGCATGATGCAGGAACTGATACGAAACAGTGGTACCCATGGCCCGGCTGTGGTTTGTTCAAGGTTTGTTTAAACTTTACAAGGCAGTCAGGTCTTGGACTCTGGTTGGGAAATGGTTTGTCCGTCGATTGCCTACCATGGGATATGTGATTTGGCACCCGATATAGATCACTCAGCGTCAGGATCAGGGAATTTCGACCGCAACTCAAGACAGTTCCGACAAACAGGTGATTGGATGACTTGAAGCTACAGAACAGAGCATTCTTAGGATAAGGAAGTTTCTTTATTTGTATTAGGATGTTGGTTTATTTTCCGTTGTTCTTCTGTTGCTGTTCTCGGTGTCTGGTCTAGTTCCTATGTTGCCTTGAACAATTTTTCTTCCTATTTTTTTTTCTCTTAGAATGTACGTCGGCCGCCGGCGCCGATTCGTGTTTCATGTTCTTGTTCTCGCCCTTCGCGCCGGTGATATAACGGCATGGGCTATAATTAGAACATGCCTTAGTTGCCAGGTACGCGCGCGAAGTTCGTAAATTGCAGACCCGGACCGCTCCCGTGTCGTCGTGGGTGTGTAAGTAATTTACGCTACTGCGTCCGCGGTGCGTTCTCTTCTCCGCCGCCGGCGTCCACAGTAGGCATTCCCATTCCATTCATGCGCGTGCGGCGACACCCACGCTCGCGCGGGACTCACGCCAGGAGCCCAATTCGCGCGTGCGCAGCCAATGGAGGGCGGTGAAACGCCGATTGGCGCTCGCGGGTGCGTTACCATGGATCTGGGGCGTTCGATCAGATTGCGGCGACGTGATGCATGATGGGCTCCGCTCGCCTGGGTGCGGCGATCGCTGTCGCTCCCCACTTCCCAGCTCTGCGCGGCGCAGGAGGAGGGTGCGCTGGGCGAATCAGAGCTGGCCGGGTGCCATGGCGGCGCCGGTCGCAGGCCAAGGACGGCGACGAACAGGCGCGGGCTGCGGAGCATGGCATCAGCGAATCAGGCTCGCGCTCGCGTAGCCACGGCGACGGGTGGCGCCTCATGACCCGCGTCAGACGGGCAACTGCTTACGCGTGCCAGCCCACGCGGGCCATATAAGTAAAACGCCCAGCCCCTGGCTCCGCAAGTCGCCGCTGCTAGCTAGCCTTCCCCCTCCTTCCCGCTTTTTCCCCCAGGACTGGTTCCTCTACTTGCGACTCGCGCCCCCGCTCTTTTCACCAGTACACACCAACGACTCTCTTGACGAGAATGTTCACCAAGTCCTTCTTCGCGGGCGCCGCGCTCCTCCTCACCCTGACCGCGCAGGCCAGCGCGCACGCCATCCCCGTGTACGTCCCCGTCCCCGTTCATATTCCCCTGATGGCTGATCGGCGGGCAGCCCGGCCCTCGGCGCCGCGAACCCGGCGCGCAAGGACACGCAGCGGCCGTCGAACAACTCGCCGTGCGGCAACGTCAACATCGCGCAGAACATCGACTCCTCCAAGGCGACCCCCGCCGGCGCCGACGGCTCCGTGACCATCGGGTGCGTTTCCCTCTTCCCCTCTCTCTCCTTCCTATTCCCTATTCCCCTCCCTCCCCCTAAAAAGAACCCTGTCCTGACGCCTTGCCAGGGTGCAGAACTTCAACGGCGGCGGGGACGGCTCGCGCTCGGTGTCGGTGCAGGTCGACGCGTCGGGGCAGGGCAAGAGCTTCGTCGCGGGCACCGTGACGAAGAACGGCGACCCGAGGCCGAACGGGAACGGCGTCGACCAGGTCACGTTCAAGCTCCCCGCGGGCACCAAGTGCGCCGGCGGCAAGGCGGGCAACCTGTGCCTCGTGTCCGTGAAGACGACCGCCGGCTTCGGCGCGTGCACCGTCGTGTCGCAGGGCGCTGGCGGCGGAAACAACAACAACGCGGGCGCCGCTGCCGGTGCCGCCGCCAACAATAACGGCAACAAGAACAACGGGGGCAACAACAACCAGAACAAGAACCAGAACGCGACCCCGCAGAACAACAACGCCGGCAACAACAACGGCGCCGCCAACAACGGAAACAAGGGCCAGGCCGCGGCCAAAACGCAGAACGCCAAAACGCAGAACGCGAAGGGCAAGGGCAAAGGAAAGGGCAAGGGCAAGGGCCGCAAGAACCGCAAGCAGCAGCAGCAGAACGCGGTGAAGGTCGCGGGCCGCTTCGCGCCGGCGCTCCTCCGCCGCGGGCTCGTCGCGGACGAGGGCATGCTGCACTGAGCGCTCACCGAAGTCGCGATGCTCGTGTTTCCTTTGCTCTGCTTTGCTTGTGTATATTACCCTTGTCTGCGGATACCCGGGGCCGGTTGTGTAGTGAGAGATACGGACGAACGGAATGCATATGGCGGGATTGTGAGGGAGTGATCAATGATGGGAGATCTCGAAGAAGGCTGCGTTGCCGCTATGCCGGGGGCCGATCAGCGAGATCGTCGTTGTTGGTTCGTTGTCTACGCCAAGCTCAGCTGTCTGCTCAAGCAGACAGCTGCACACAAGAACGCACTGTAGAGTGGCTCATCCTCTTTGAGTACTTATCCCGTCCGGCGTCAAGTGAAGTCCGAATCGGCCGATTATCCCCGCCTTCAAATGTCACGTCACACTCGCTTCTATTGCTTTTCACGATGGCCCTTGCGACGTTTGACGACCTGCCGCCGGAGCTCGTTGGGATCGTCGTGGGCTACATCAGCGAGGCACGTGCGTCATGGCTGTGGCCTCTCCCCCGACTGACGACGCAAGATAGCTGCCGCATGCGGACGTGTGCACTGCGCGCCTGCTGTGCCGCACGCTGCACGATGCGCTCAACGCTGTGTTCTATCGGGTGCTGTCGTTGGACTGGGCGCGCCTTGCCGGCGGACGTGCGCGCGGCGTGGTGGTGCTGGCGGAAAGACTGGATATGTGGGCGAGGTATGCGACTAGAGTCCGGGTATACCGGCCGCCGGGGGTGCGTATCGATGTCGTGGCGGGGGACGGGCCGAGACAGATCTTAGCGAGGGCGGAGGCGGTGAAAAGCACAGTGATGGCGGTGTTCGATAGGCTGACGAAGGTTCAGACTGTGGAGTGCGTGTTTATACTAATATTCTCACATGGCAGGCATACCAATGCGTCCTTGCTGGTAGATGGGAGCTCACTGGCAACACGGTGCACTTGCCCTGGCTTCACGATGCAGTGCAATCGCTGCTCAACCGCCTCCAGACACCCACCACACTCCACCTCTATATTGACGGTCACCGGCCGCTGAACATCACCCGGAACCAAATGCTCAATTTTTCCTTCGGAACCAGCTGCAGCTTGACCACACTCACAGTTCGCGCATCCGGATCCTCCTCCGGGGGGCACGAGCCGCGCCAAATCGCCCAAACCATCGCCGGCGTCATCCCGAGCAACCCGCAGCTCACATCGCTCACCGTGCTCACCGCGGCCAACTTCTTCAGCGCCTGTCTCTGGTCCGCTTTTGCGTACCCTGACACCTTCCACAACAGCCTGCTAACCACTCTCCGTACGACCGCGCCGTCCGCCCATTTGCTGCGTCTCCTCCACACTGCACACCCCGGCCCGAACCTGCACGTGCTCCACCTGCACGACACCAGCGCGGGGTGGCGCGACGCAGAGGCCGACGCGTTCTACACGCACGTGCTCCCACGGCACGCGCCCACGCTCGAGGACCTCGCGTTCGGCAGCGCGTACGTCAGCCTCTGGGCCGTGACGCCGCACGTGCCGCCCCTCCTCGCCGCGGCGCCCACGCACATGCCCCGGCTGCGCCGCCTCGCGGTTTCGCTCAACCCGCAGAACGTCCTCCCCGAAGAGACCTCCGCGGCGGACCCGCCTGTGATCGTGCGCACGTGTCTTTCCTTTTGTGTATGATGATCTGATGGCCGATGCCTAGCCAACGCTCCTCGCGCTCGTCGCGTCCATGACGCACTTCCCGTGCCTGCAGACACTCGCACTCCGCGGGACGTACCCTGAGGCGCTCTGGGGCGCGCCGCGCACGGAGCACGCCGAGCACGCCACTCGCATGCGCGCGGCCATCGCGGCGGCGCTCGAGGAGTTTGGACTACTTCCGCTTCCGGCGCATGCGAGGCCGGGGCCGGATGCAAGAGATGGTGTGTGTATCGAGGTACCCGAGCATGAACCGGAAGAGGACGGCGCGAGAGAAAGCGCCGTGCGGTACCTGCTTCCGCCGCGGCGGGTGCCTTGACAATTTTTTTTTGTTAATATTGTTTGCTGCCAGTGAGCCTGGGCGTTGGGTCACTTGGGTCCCAATCCCAATCTTGAACTCCATCTGTTATATAAAATATATTCTGAACCAGAGAAAAACTCTCCATGGACTGTCCCTATGCCGGCGCGGCGTGAATCAAACACCATGCCGGGTCCATGACGCGGCTGAGTATCAGGCTTCAATGCCTCTGAATCTGGTAGCAGCTATTTGTCCACCGAAGCTCCATCATGCCCCTGTCAGCAGCAGTCTGGGAGGAGAAAACTGTACTTGCAGGCCGCTAGTGCTGTCCACAATTATATTATGCTAGAATATATTTTGAATATATTCGAATAAATATGATTATATTATGCCCTTTGCATATTCAGACCCATTGAATATGAGTGATTATGAATATGAATATATTATGAATATAATATATTATACCTTGGCCATAATTAATTATATTCAAATACACCAGCAAGCCCTTCAGCCAGAGGTACTAGCTCTGTAGCAGGCTACTAGCAGCAGTAGCAACATCTTCAAACTCAGTCTTTACCATATCAATGGCTTTTGGCAGTAAATCAGGCCGGACAATATCCATATCCAGCCCTGACAGAAGGCTGAAGTTGACCTTTATATTGCTACCCTGGACTTTGATGATACTCTTCGCTGGTGAAGGTATCATACTTGACCTAGGCTAGAGTTTTGTTCAGCTTAATATCTTGTTGTAGAATATCCAGGCTATGTTACCAATCCTGGTTATAGCTGCAAAGAGCATCTCTGTAGGGCACCTGGTCTCCAGACTCCAGCATCAAGCATAGGATGACAGATATGCATGCCTCAATGACTGCAAAATTGGCCACAGAAACAACCATAACCAAGGAGTGGTTCAATAAACCATGAGATAAGGTGGATTATATGCACTATGTGCAGACTTGTGAAGCTTGAATATAAATGAATATATTCATAATATATTCATATTCTGAGCCCAATTATGATTATGAATATGAATACAATTATAATATGCTCCAGCAGAGAGAATATATTATGAATATGAATAAATTATGAAAATTTCGTATTCATAATCATAATTGGACAGCACTACAGGCCGCAAGTGGTTTGAACCTTTCAATGCTTCATGATGGTCTTGGAGTTGGGCCCGGGTCTGGGCCCAGGGCAGTCCTGTAAACTTGAGCACTATTGTGTGTTTCCCTCAAATTAAATATTCTATCTTCACTAGGTATATGTTGAAACAGGAGATACCTACTGTTAGCGAAGGTGCGTCAGTTCCGGAGCGAGAAGGAACTGACGTACGCAGGAATTCTGGAAGTCCCAACAGAGCTCACGGCAGACTTCTTCGGGCACTGCGTGGAGAAGGTCTCCATTGGCGGTCCGGATGCCAGTGACAAAGGAACCTCACCCCTGGTACTTGTGGCGGTTTGTAGCGAATGGCGTCGCATCGCGGTCGGCCTTCCCCGCATCTGGTCGCGAATCCCGTTGCCAAGCGTATCGGTAACGAGTGTGTGCCGTTTGGGTATCGGAATGTTGTCGGTTGGTTGTCGGAATGAAGAGAAAAAAAGAAAGAGAATGTATATAAAGTGTCCATTTATGTACAGTAATATATACCTAGCTAACACCTACAAATCAGGATACCCCCCTAGGCCTTCAAATGGCACCTGGAGTTAACCAACAACATACTAATAAATTCAACAATAGATTCCTTAGAGATTCCAACCTGCAAATCAACTGCAAATCTATGGATAATGTCATTGCCCTGTGTTGAACAGGCAGTCAACACTGGCAACAATTAGTGCTGGGTGGTTGAGAACATGGAGCTGTGAAACTATTCATTGGGTGAAGAAAGTAATGTTAGTTGTGCAAGGGGGGGGGTTCAAGATTCAAATCCCAAATATAGCGTTGGTTTTTTTTTTTTTTTTCTAACCCTCTGGGACCCCCCTCCCTCCTCCCTTACTATATTGGGAAGTATTTCCCACGATAAGATAAGATCTTGTATCATGTGACCACTGATGGAATCAAAAGCGGTGCAGAAGCTGACATTTTGGACAAACTTTGCAGGAATATATATATCTGTTTATCAACTCACTTTCAGCTCTTCAACACTATGGAGAAGCCATTACTGAGCTAAGGATGGTCAATCAATAACTGGATGACAAGCATCATGAAGCATGTGACAAGATGTCACCCTGCACCTATCCAAGCCCAAGAACTTTCATTCTTCAGATATGGGGGGCATAACTTGAGCAATATGGTATATGTTTCAGCAGCTGCGGACCTATATTTGCTTCAAAGAACCCCCCTTGTAATGGTGTACATATAGTTAATGGGACCAGATCTCGCAAAAACAAAAGCTACTAGCGGCAATTGACAAACTTATTCCAAGATGAATCCATGAGGATAGACTCAATAAGGGGCCATCTGGGGAAACTAGGATACTGTGAGTGAATTACTCACAGGTGTTTTGAAACTGTTTTGAAACACCCCCCCTTTTTTTGAAACTGTGTCCAGGGCTGGACCACCTGGCACTAGTGACAGGCAATGATGCTGGTTGGTCTGACTCTAAGCCAACTGTGCTTGGCAATTCACACATTACTCAATTGTTGTTGTTCAGTTCAAACTTCAGAGGGTTAAATTGCATATTACACAAACTTGTTGTAATATCGCTTACTCTAGCGAACTCCGGGCGGATCACTCAGCCCGACGCTGACTGATCCCGGTCAGATTTTAGTAGAACTTACTAGAATATTCATTGGTAGCATAAATACTGTACTACTTTACAGAATAAACATTGAACTTCTCTCCTGTTCTTTCAACAGGTTATGGGCCCCGCATAGCCTGAACTGTCTCTCACCTCACTTGCTCCACCCCTCCGCGGCCATCACGCATACGACCACTCGCGTCTATTCCCTCGCGTATCGACCCCCCCGTCTTCGGCCCGGAGACACCACCCCCAGGGTGCGCTCTGGTATTGGTTTGGACTGGCAGCTGCAAGCTGCAGGTGCGCCCGAGC